GCAGTGTGCCTAGTAAGATTAGCAAATGTGCCAGACACTGCTGTAATTGCTTATCCTCTCATTTAATCCTTGTAACAGTCGTGTAAGGCAAGTACTATTATTATCTCCATTTAACAGATGAGCCCACTGAGGCACAGAGAAGATAATTTAATTAACTCACCCTAGTCACAAGGCTAAATCCTAGTGCAGGCCTTGGAACTCAGTGCTCTTGACCATCGTCTGTATACTATGTGAAAGTACTATGCTGAGTTTTGTAAGGGAGTGAAAATACATTTACGATGTGGCCACTGCCCTTGGGGAATGTACCATCCTCAAGACTTAAGAAGGCTCTCCAGGCTGGCCTGCACAAATTTCCTGCCCAACCTGAAGCTTTGACCTCTGTATACCTTGGGTCTTTGGACTTCAGTGCTACAGCCAGGCCATCATCAGCCAGCCCCTCTCCTTTCCCTACCCATTAAACCCCCGCAGCTACTGAAATCCACCTTATAAACCTCAACCTGTTCTTCCAGACAGGTCAGCCAGAGCTCCTTCCTACCTTGACCATTACCCTGAAGTTACAGAAAGGATTATACAGCCCTCGCCTAGCTTCATGATAAAGATCTTGTGCAGAGGCCAGAGGACACAGCTGAGTTGGGCCCACTGCCTGGGCGCAATCTCCCCAGCCAAATGTGAACCAGGTCAAACAGCAGAGAAATGAAACACACTGAACTGCCAGAGCCCATTTGGCCTAGCCCAGCCAGCAAGGCCACCCTCAGCTGTCCGCTTGCCAACAGTTCACTTGGCATTTTAGTGACTACCCTCACCTGCATATCTGGGGGATGGCACTTGGCATTTGGTCTAGAAACTGATTTCTCTGGGACCCCAAGAGCTAGCACAAAGTGTTATAAATGAGCAAAAGTCAAAGAGAAGATTTCATTAGGAACTTAAATGTGAAGGCTCCAGTCAGGGTTGCAGCAAACAGGGCCTGAAGGACCACCAGTGTCGGAGTGATGAAGACACACAAAGAAAGCCCAAGAGGGATAGGAACATTCTGGAGCTAGTGCGCGCTATCAGACACCATCGCAGAATGTTAACCAGTGACTGGATCTCCTTCCCTGGGGAGCCATTAAAACACAGGTGCATTTTGAAGACAGGAGTTGGAGGAGATGATCTGTCCATCCCACTGTTTACTTCTGGCTCTAGAGTCACCAAGAGTCTTCAGAGAGGGCCAATGGCTTTGTTTGGTGCCTCTCTTTTGCCACAGCAACTGCCTATGTCAGAGATACTAGGGCACGGGGGCCTCCGAACAGCTTGTAACAGCACCTCGGCTCAGAGAGAGAGAAAGGGCTTCTTGTAAAATATGCCATGGTTTTACCAACATGGGGCATGATGTGGATGAGGAGGGCAGGATAAATCAAAGGTGACCCAAAGGACGCCCCCTTTCCTGAAATCAGGCTTGGTTTCATAAACCCATGAGGATTGCACTGTATTCTAGGAGGGAAGCCAGGCAGGGCTGGCAGAAGCCCCCAGGGTGCCCAGAGCGGCAGCAGCCTCCAGCTTGGGGTTTCCAGAATAGAAGGCAGGTAACACCCAGCTCTTGCCCCCGCCTCCCTCCTTTGCAGTGCCCTTGTCCTTAACATCACAAGTGAAGGCCCAGGATCTGAGAGTTGCCTGGGTTATGGCAAGCTCCAGGAGGTGGCAGCCGTGTGTAGTCTGTGAGGAGGATCTGACTCACCCCCAGCGCCTCACCAAGGTCACTGTTGGTGACTGGGAGGTTTCCCACCCTGCCACGCCACCCCACCTCTGGCTGCCCAGGAGTCAGAGATAGCTTCATGGGCCGTGGCTAACCCGAGACAGGCAGCACACCCCTGTGTGCGGACAGGGCTCCAAGGCTGTGCTCTAGAGTGGCCATGAAGCTCAGCAGACTTCCAGAGAAACAGGCAGGAAGCAGGGGCTTCAGGGCACCAGGCCTGCTGTTGCCAGCACTGCTGTCCCAGGCATCACAAGCCTTGCTCCAGAGAACCTCAAAGTGCAGCCCTACATGATCTGAGTAATTTTAGCTTCGCCTTTGATCCACGCACCCTTCCCAAAGGGCAGGGTTATACAGTTCTTGTTACACACACTCACTGGCATTTAATTCCTGCCTCTTCAAACCAAGACAGGAAAATAGTTAATCATCAAGTACCTTCTAAGAATGAACAATAAACTGGAGATAACACTATGCACTTTTCAGGATCTCAGAGCTGTGTAATTTTCCAGTGTATAAGGCACTGGGCCCTGTTTGCCTAGAGTTTCTAGGGTAAAATACTCATGTGAAAATGTGCCCAGGTCTGGCTTTTGTGAGGCAGCAAAAAAGGAAGGGCCTTGGAAACATTTTTTTCCCACTCCACAAAAAATAATAACAATATGGGAAAGGAACACCCCAATTAAAAATAAGTGGTTTGTGGCTTTAAAAATAAAGTTTCTCAGTGTTTTACAGAATCATAAAGTATTCAAATTGGGAGGAGTGTGGGATACCATGCAGGGCCAGCTTCATGCAGTGCAGCCACCTCTTCTGTGCCATCACTAGCAGGCTGGTGCACACACTGCTTGTCTGCTGCCAAGAACAGGGAGCTCATTACTATGTTTTATATAATTTTTTCTTAGATTAAGCCCAAATTCCTTTTTCTGTAACCTCCAGCAAGCATTGCAAACTGTGTCCTCTGGAGCCGCGATACATACCTCCACTGTGCCCTCTCTGTGACCTCCTTCAGATCTTTGAAGATAGCTGTAGCATGCCCTGCAGTCCCAGCCTGCTTCTCTCCAGGCTACATGCACTGCTTTGGCAAACAACCTAATTCAGGAGGCCGCTGGCTGCCTGGGTCTTTTCCATGTTAGGGCAGGTTTTGGCAGGGTGGCGGTGACTGCCGCTCGGCCTTCTCCAGCAGCGTGCCTCCTTGCTTTCCGCTGTGCCCTGCAGGAGTTGTGCCTGTGGACAAGCAGCCTCTCACGTGGCAGCCCTGGGGCTCAGCCTTCGTCAGACCACGGGCAGAGCTGGATTCTGAGAGTAGAACGACTAGATTCATGGGTGCTCCGACTGTCTTTCCTCACAGAGGCAAACAGGCTGATGCCAAGTCAAAAGCTCCAAGAGGAGAAGAAACGTGCCTGTCTTGTACACTGCCATGTCCCCAGTAACAGGCACAAAGCAAATGCTCATAAGGACTTTCAGATGAATGAATAAAAGAATGAAGGAAAGCAAGCTGGGATCAAGTGGGGCGATACACACACACTTCTGTGGATTGAAAGTCTGGACCTCAAATGTACGGGATCCCCTGCTTGCAGCCCAGAGCCTGTCCAAACCCGCCGAGCCCAGCTCCAAGGCTGAGCTCCACCACAGCTCTGCACACCACCCCACTTCCATCCTCCATGGTTCCTTTAAACGATCATTGCCTCCTCCTCCTTGCACCCACGCCAATCTCTTCCCATTTCCTCTTCCTCCCCTTTCCATCTCTCCCAAGGAACTCCCTTATCTATACAAGTTCCAGGACATTCTTCTGGGATGTAAATTTCAAAGAAAGCCAAGCAAGAAAAATAAAAAAGTGGTATAAGACCTTGTATTGCTTTCGGGGCCCTAGCTGATATCCTTTGGCCCTAGACTGATGTGGGGAGGACCCCCACAAGTGCTCATTGTTCCAGCTGCATGGACAGCAATCCTGGGTCAGGAGTTTGGAGGGAGAGACTGTCTGGGTTGCACCCATTTTTGCAGGGATCTTTAGTAATGAGGCCTGGCTCACAGCCTCCTGCTCTAGGCCCATATATTGTTGAGCAGCAGACGATGCAATTGATCTGTAAGTGGATGTTTTATTTTTTTTATTTTTCCCCTCCAGGGTAAAAAGCAAAAGGAACTCTGGCAACTGGTGGTCTATAAACTTAGCAAGCCTCAGGACAGTCTATCTCACACATGGAAAATAACTCCCCAGCTCTCCCTCACCACCCCCACCTCTGGAGATAAACTGTAATAAAATCTTAACTGGCTCCCCTGTTCTGACAGATAGAGGATGACTTGCTTTAAAAGACCTTCATGTTCTGTTGCTGCCAAAGACATTTAAACTGCATTCAGGAGTGACTCCTCTGCCTAAAACACTGACCAAGCCTGAGGCAGATTTCCCTGGCAGAGGCTCCATGAGCCATGTGCTCTTGGTGGGCAGGGCTGCTGAAGCTGGGTGCAAGGGCAGTGGGAGATGCCACATTCACCCTGGGCTTGCTGGGCAGGAACCGTAGGTTGCCTTTGGGCCTCAGGTGTAGTGACTGGAAGGTGTCTGACAGCACAGCATGGTGGGCTGGGGGATACAGATGGGATGGACACTTCCTGTCCCCCAAGCAGCTCAAGAGAAAACTGCTCTGAATGGCTCTTATTTATAAGGAAAATGTGGCAGAGGCTCATTTACAGAAAGGGAGAGAGCTGGGGCCTGACCTATTCCAAAGCCCTTGGGGAAAGGGACTGGGGGGAGGCGGGGAGGAATATTTAGTGACAGCTGAGTTCTCTTGTGTTCTCTCAAGACTTTCAAATTGTCAGAAGCCCCTGGAATAGGAACCCTGTGGGAGGTGTGTGAGAAGGGTTTGGAGATAAAGACAGAGGAGAGCATTAAGGAAAGTGGGGAGGAAAGAGAATGGAGAGAAGAAAAGGAGGAGGAATACAGAGGAAGGCAATGGAAGAGGGAAGAGAGGGGGTGCACCAAGGCAGAAGAGAATGAGGGAGACAAAGAAAGGAGTCGGGTGTCTCCAGGGTGAAGAGCTTACAACCAGGAATGAGTAAGGAAGAAAAAAAACAAGTGACATGGGGGACAGGCTGAATCTTTTGAAAGAAAGGTTCAAAATTGGCAACTTCTCCCAAACCTACGAAACAGGTACTCCGGGGTGTAATTTCTCCAAATCAGAACACTTCCCCTGAAGCCCTTTCTTCCTTTCTCTCCTTCCTTCCTTCCTTCCTTCCTTCCTTCCTTCTCTTTCTTTCTCTTTCTTTCTCTTTCTTTCTCTTTCTTTCTTTCTTTTCTTTCTTTTCTTTCTTTTCTTTCTTTTCTTTCAGTCATAGTTGCCAGAGAGCTTTAAAGTCACATTTATTGCTGAAGTTTTGTGATCTGCTTAAACCCGGTGGCAGAAACATCTCCATCTGCTTCCTTGAGAGGTTCCTGCAAGTTGTCTCCTCCCAACACTACTTACTGCAGGCTCTCTCCCGCAAGCCCTTAAGGAGTGATAGACCCCAAGGCTTGGACAAAGGGTGACATGCACTCAAAGAACGAGGAAGGTATGTTCTCCTGGACCCAGCCAGTCTCAGGAAGAGAATAGCACAGGTGCCACAGAAAGGGAGATGCTAGCTGTGCAATGAGAGGACACAGGAGAAGAGGAGGAAACCTGGAAAAGGCAGGAATCTAGAAGGAGGGTCTTTCATGCGTACGGCCACCAGAAAGCTCAGATAACCATGAACAATTTTGGCACTTGTCTTATTAGTTTGATTAATTTTTAATCACCTAATATTTTTAGTTGGCAACGCAAGAACATAGTGTAAGTGGCCAAAGATCCCGGAGGTATGCAGTGAGAAATGAGTTGTTGTCCCCGCTACCATTCCCCTCCCTTCACCCCAGGTAAGGGGAGGAGCTGCTGACACCAGCTCCTTGTGTGTAAAGGAAGATTCTGAAAGAGGCTTACAAGGGATCCTGGCCCATCCTAGAGATGGAGTTAGAAAGGCTCCTCTGTAGAAGTGATGCCTGAGCTGAAAAGTGAAGAACAAACAGGGCTTCGCTAGTGAAAGAGGACGTTGCATGTGCAGAGGCCCTGTGGTCGGTGTAGAAACAGCACTTTTGTTGAAATGATGAACAGCAGCGTGGCCCAGTTGCAGACAGTGAGGTAGTGGTGGGAGGAGAAGAGGCAGGAGTGGTGGGCAGAGCTGGGCAAAGCCTGGGTCAGGGTCTCCCAGGCCATGTTAGAATTGGATCCCGACAGTTAAGAAAGCATATGTGACAGATACATTTTACATTTTGAAAAAACAGTCACCGTAGCTCCAGGGCAGAGAAAAGCAAGGGACGAGCAATGCCCTGGCCCATGCCCACTCAGTCTCACCTTTGAGTCCAGCTGCAGCCATGGGGGAAACTTCCACATTTGCTTCACCCCACCTCACACTAACAGCCCCAGCCTCAAATGCTTTCTTCCCCAGGGCTTCCAATCACATGAGCTCTGTTGGCCCATGTATAGGCACAATCTGGAAGTGCAGGGGAGTTCATGCTTCGGAGCAACCCTCAGCAAGGTGCAGGGACGGTGAAGGCTCAGAAGGTCCCAGGTAAGCCCTAGGAACCCAACCAGTGACCTCACTTACACACCCAGTATTGTCTGTCCCTCCTTTCCCACTCTGCCTGCCCCTCACTTCTGATTCCTGGAGCTGCTCCTCAGTAAGCAACCAGCTCAGAAACCCTTGTTGTAGGCTCTGCTTTCCAAAGGTATCTTAGAGTGAGGTGGAATCAGTGGTAGTTGTTTGGATAAGACATGATAGGAGCTTTGACCGCAGTGGTAGCCGTAGCAATGAAGAGTTCGGAAAGATGTTTAGAAGGTTAAATCGAGTCTGCTGCAGCCGTGTTCTCCAACACCACTCTCTTTCATGTTCTGATTGACATTCACTGCAGGTCTGCAGCTCATGGCAAGTCCCGGATGGAGGAGACATGGTCAAGTGCCACAGCCCCGTTTTATAGCTGTGAAAATGGCCATCATATAGGGAGGTGGAAGTCAAAACTAAGGTCACAGGAGATTAAGGTATTTCCAGACTGTCCTAAATTTAGGTGAATTTATAATGGGGTCTTTGGCAGATGTCCAGCATTAATTAATGTCTCCTTTAGGCAAGACCACATAGCCAGAACCATTGCAGTGGATATGCAAGTGTCTGAGATAAGAGGGGAGGAAAACGAGTAGTAAAGGCTGTTCTTCATTGAGCCGTGCACACTTATGCCCCATGCCAGTCCTGTGAAGTAGATATTGTTACCCCTATTTTACAGAGGAAGGAATGGAGACGGAGAGAGGTACCATAATCTTCCCAGTATCACTGAAGTCATGCAAGATAGAGCAGACACCTGCAGCTTGTCCTAATGGCTTGAAAGGCCTGCATTTACCACCTACTCCTGAAGGCTGCCTTTTAAATAAATACCCCTCTGCTCCTTAGAGGGAGAAGAGCCTGGGGAGAGTCCGTCCATCTCTCTTCATGCTGGATTATCAGTTCATTGGGTTGCCAGTAGATCCTGTCACTCAGTAGATGAGAGACAAGATGACATTTGATGGCTGTAGAGAACCGAGAGGACCACGGTGTGGCCTCGTCATGCTGGGTGGGCCAAAGGCAGCACTAGGTGGCTCTCATTTATTCATATTTAACAAACAACTTACATCAACTCAAGTAATCCTCATAGTAATTCCACGATGTAGGTTGCAGTATTATGCCCTTTTTAGAGATGAGGAAACTGTGGCAAAATAAAATGGTTTAATAATTTGCCCAAGAAGACACAGTTAGTAAGTAGCAGAACTGGGGTTTTAACTCAGAAATTCCAACACTGGTGTTCTCAATCACTGTTCCACATTGCTTCTCATTCCTGCATATACGTTGCAGGGCTTGCTTTGTGTCAGGGGTCAATCAGATGCTGCAAGACTGGAGCTTGCAAAAAATACAAAAATGAATTGAGAATGCACTCGGCCCTCAAGTAGTTTATTCTCCCATACATGCTAAGTATTTCCACAAACGACCATGAGAAAATGTAGAAGGTGACAGGTACTTAATGAAAGATACTGATGAATACTATGGGGTTCCAGAAGGGAGAGAGATTCCAGCATGGGGACTGGGGAGGAATGGCACATCAGTTTGTTTTTGCCACATAACAGACCACTCCAAGATTTAGTGGCTTAAAGCAACACCTACTTATTACTTCTCACAGTTCTGCAATGGGCTGGGCAGTTCTGCTCAGGTTTGGCTCAGTAGGGCTGGAAGATCGAGCATGGTCTCATTCACACGTCTAGGATGACTGGGAAAGATGTGACCTCTCTGTATACGGCCTCTTATCCTCCAGAAGTCTGGTCTAGTTTCCTCTCATGAAAGAAGATTTCTATCAGCAAGAGAGAGAGCAAGCCCTGAGCACACACTTCTGAGCTCCTGCCTGTGTCCCCTTTGCTAATGTCCATTGGCCAAAACAAGCCACATGGTCAAGCCCAAGATTCAAAGCATAGAGAAACAGAGTCTACCTTTTGGCGGGAAGAGATGCAATGTCACATGCAAAGAGACCTCAGAGGAATGAGAAAGATGTATAGGTGTAGCGTGTTTTTTTTGTTGTTGTTGTTGTTGTTGTTTTTCCAGTAAGTCAGAATCAGAGAAAGCTTTACAGAAAGGAAGGGGCTTGAAAGATGGCTAGGGCTGGGACATGTGACAGATTTCCCATACATGGAGAGAAAATCCGCAGAGGCAAGATAGCCTAGGGGTTTGCAAGGATCAGCGAATGCTTCCTCTAGGCTAATGGAAGGTTGGGAAAGTAAGTTGGAACACCGTTATGGAGGAGATGGAGTGTTGTCTTTAAGAACTTGGATAGTCTCCAATGGCCTTCTAAGAGATTGACCTCCACTTGTAAGGGCACAGCCTTCCCAAAAGAACCTGCTCCACCTGCAGCTCTGCCTGTTTCCTCCTGTTCCTCCTGTTTCTGCAGTGCCACCACCATTGACTCAACAGTCAAAGGACCTGTGGTAGCCAGTCTACAGGCTTCCAAAGACCTACTATGGCCTGTCCTGAAAAGGTGAGCTGGGAGAATGGTAAGCCGGGTAAAGGAATCTGGGAGATGCAGGCATGAGCAGCAGAGGTGAAGGTGAAGGGCGCATTGAGGTTCAGTGACAGACAGGGCATCAAAACCCTGTTCAAATTGGCTATATCAGAGCTGAGGGTGAGGAGGTCAGCTGGCAGAGAGCAGAGAAGGAGCAGATGAAAAGAGAGAAGCAGATACAGAGAGAAGATAGGTCCCTGGAGCGGCCTCAGGTCCTAAGGATTTCCCCATCCAGGCAGAGGTTTAAGGTAATTCTCTTTATCCTCAGGTTTTGAATGGCCTTGTCCCTGCATCAGGTGATGGATGGATTTGTCCCCCACATCACGTGATTGGTGATTCCGTCCCCTGCATCAGGTAATTGATAGGTGGTTCTGTCCTCTGCATCTAGTGATGGAAGATTGTGTTGCATTTCATGTGATGGGTGATTCCATCCCTGTTTCAGATGATGGACAGTCCTGTCTCCTGCACCAGGTGATGAATGGTTCTGTCCCCTTAGTCAGGTTGTGGACAGTTCTGTTCCCCGCATCAGAGATGGGAGATTCTCTCCCTTGCATCCCTGGCTAGAACATTGGTTGGAATAAAATCTTGAAAGTGACAGGGAGACCAGGGATGGAAGTATATCTTGCCAGGAAGCAAAGTTAGGCAGAGCCTCAAATGTAGGGGGCATTCAGGGGAGGAGTTGTTCTTCAGAGGAGCTCTTCCTTCTCTGCCTCTTCTAGCAACTAGACATACCATAGAGTGGAGACCGAAGCCATCGTATTTGCAGACAAATCCTTTGATTTGGTAAAGTCTTGAGAGCTTAAAAATGTTATTTTAGAGTCTATGTATATCTTCAGTCATCATTGCTTTCAAATATTTTATCAGTTCTCACTCTGGTTATTAAGAGCCAGAAGGCATCTATTCTGTAGTATTTCTTTGGGAGGCATTTACAAGGTGCATCTCACCAGTGGCGCAGGAAAATAAATTTCCCTGGAAACCAGAAGTCACAATAGTCCTGCCCTCCAGAGCCCCACGAGGTGGAGAAATCCCCATTATAATTAAAATCCGATTACTCTGCTTTTATGTCACCTCCGCTGCTGTAAGTGAGGGCTCGTCTAGCTGCCAGAGCACAGAATGACACAGATACAACGTGATGTGTCAACCACTCATGTTTCTTTTTTATGAGATCAACGTTTATAACTTTGCAGTCAGCCCACTGACAGACTGTAAAACTTGGCTTATTGGAAACAGATACATCAACCATAAGGCACCACTTGTTGAAGGCTGATTCCAGTCTTCCCTGGGTGTGAGTTCATCCTTGGAGAGAAAGCCACTGGGCCTGGCAGTGTCCTGAGTTTCTTCTAGAAACGTTCATGCACCTGTCTTGGACCCCCTCAACATTGCTCCTTGTGAGAAACACCCATGCAGCAGCGTCCTGTCACCACTTCCATATGTGTGAGTTAGGTACCACGGCCTGACCGCTTATGAAATGTACCTTAGCAGAATTCAGACCCCATGAATGCAGTACAATGTACCCATGTAACAAACCTGCACATGCACCCCCTGTATCTAAAATAAAAGTTGAATTTTTTTAAAGAGTAAAAAACCATGAACCCCTTAAAAGAAAATATAGGGGTAAATTTTCATGACCTCGGATTTGGCAATGGATTCTTAGATATGCCAACAAAACACAAGCAACAAATGAAAAAAAAGTAAATTGGATTTCATCAAAATGTAAAACTTTTGTGCATTAAAGGATATTATTAAGAAAATGAAAGACAACCTGTGGGATGAGAGGAAATATTTGGAAATCATATATCTGGTAAGTGTCTAATATTCAGGAATATATAAAGAACTCCTAACTCAACAACATAAAAAGAAACTACCCAATTAAAGAATGTGTAGACATTTCCTCAAAGAAAATGTATAAATGGTGATAAACACATAAAAATGTTCAAAATCATGGCCATTAGAAAAATGCAAATAAAAGCCACAATGAGATTCTTCTTCTTCTTCTTCTTCTTCTTTTTTTTTTTTTTGATAGAGTCTTGGTCTGTCGCCAGGCTGGAGTGCAGTGGCATGATCTCGGCTCACTGCAACCCCTGCCTCCCAGGTTCAAGCAATTCTCCTGCCTCAGCATCCCAAGTAACTGGGACTACAGGTGCGTGCCACCACGCCCAGCTAATTTTTTGTATTTTTAGTAGAGACAGAGTTTCACCATGTTGGCCAGGATGTTCTCAATCTCTTGATCTCATGATCCTCCTGCCTCGGCCTCCCAAAGTGCTGGGATTACAGGCGTGAGCCACCACGCCCTGCCTGAGATTCCTCTTTATACCTACTGGGATGGCTATGATTTAAGAAAATGGAAAATATTAAGTGTTGACAAGGATGTGGATTTTAAAAGTGTTTTTCTAGTCTATTTGTGGCCATAGAAATGTTTCCTCTTTTGTGAATCCAAAATGCAAGACAGACCATAGGGGCCAGCTTCTACTTCAAAAAAGGGGTACTCAAAGCAGATGCCTCTTTGGATGTGGGCTGCTAGCTTGGTGGAGACTCGCATGTCTGTTTCACGCATATTCTATTTTACTCTGTCTCTGTCTCACCTTTGCTGCATACTCAGAAACTACTGCTGTCCCCACATCAGTCTCCTTGAGTCCACATTGATCTCTGAGATCTGTTGATGGAAAGGGCTTGGGGAGTTCCCCTGTTGCAACAGCTTTGTTCTCTTTGTGGTATGTCTTGGTTTGCAAATGACTCTCTTCCCTCAATATCGAGGCGTTCAGCTGCAGATGAGAAGCAACTTCATGCAGCTTCATGATGCAGGCACCACTAGGAAATATGTCTCCATGGCAACCCCAGGGTTACCTCATCCAACAGCACTCAGATGTTGCTGACCACAGAAACATTTTTTTTTTTCAAATGTAGAGCAAGCATCCACTGTATAGAGCCAAGAGGTATTTGTTTGTCTGTTTTTGATGTTCTGTGCCTCTGTTCAGAGCCCTTGGGGGTAATGTCACATATTTGGGGAACATTTTTAAATGTGGACAACATTTCTCCATTCCTCTGCTTCGGCACACGGAGCTTTCTTTCCTGCAAAAATAAGAGGGTTCTTCTAGGGAGGTGGTGTCATTATTCATCTCTGTTCTAGCCACTGCCTGTTGCCAATGAGTTGTTTTAATGTTTTGAATCCAGAATTCATATTTTCTCAGCCTCAGCAGGATCTGGCCCACTCAGCACTTGATCAGGACTGTTCATGGGAAACCCAGGTGCTTGCGATGAGAGTGAAACTGACTGCTGCCATAGTGACCTTCCACTCCTCCTGTCCAGACTGGAATCATTAACTCAGGCAGGCACGTGGTTAGCACGTCCCACTCCCATTAGCCTGCTGGGGATCAGCATTATTGGGAATGACGTCGTCTGCCCCTCTGCAACTCCCCAAAGAGCTAACTTACTTGTTGGGGAACATTGGAGAAAAAGATGTCATTCCTCTACATGAGTGGTTCTCAACATGGGGGGAGGAGAGGGACTTGTCCCTGAGGGGACATTTGGCAATGTTGGGAAACATTTCGGTTTTCACAACTGTAGAGCAGGGGTACCAGTGGTATTAGAGAGTGACCAGGGACGCTGCTAACCATTGGATAGTGCACAAGACAACACCCCTGCTCCCACCGCAACAATGGATGACCCAGCTCAAGATATTACCAGTGCTGAGACTGAAGTGGAGAAACCCTGCTCCACATAATCAAATTGCACCCAGCAAGGTATGGATTCCTAGCATTCAGATCTTGGTTATTATTGATGCAAGGGCAAGCAATGGGTTATTTATTAACTGTGTGAATAAATGCCTGTAACTGTATTCACTGCAGAACTCCAGCACGTAGAAGTGCTTTCTTGTGACAGAGAGAGTTTGCAGTGCCTGCTAATCCCTCCTGGAAAGCCTTTTCGTCCCTGAATTACGATCTCAGCCCATGTTGCCTCACACTGCCTCTCTGTTATTAAAATTCCTTTCTACACAATTCATAGGAACATAAATCCTTCCTTTAAAGTCTAACCAATAATGCTTCCAGAAAATTAGATTCTCCGTTTAAAAAATTGACACTTAAAAATAATGTGCCTCCTTCCAGTCCTTCCCTCTTTCTGGAAATCTTAGGACAGGTAGAGACTTGGGGGTGGATGAAATGACCTTCAGGAGCCCGTCACATGGCCACACCTGTAATCTACTGTTTGTGCTTGTTTCTTTGCTATTACTAGTCTTCTAGTCATATGACCTGGAATTATTACTTAAAATGTGATTCAAATGCTGTGTAAATATGGCCAAAATGTTTGTTTTCCTCAGTGATGGAAGTAGGATTAAGCAGGCAGGGAGCAGAGCTCCAGGGTCCACCCGCACACAGCGACAGACCTCACCAGACAAGTCCCCAGGGTCACTTGTTCCAGTTCCCATCACAGGCTTTCTCCACCTGACTTATCCAAAAGGCCGAGAAATAATCCCGTCTCAGGCTTTCTCACCAGGTTGCCTTGTTTTTGTTTTTGTTTTTTTCCAAAGCCCGTGTAGCTAAGTCATATCAAGGGAAACTTAGGTCAAGATGATAACCACCTAGGCCCTCAGATTGTCACACCCTCCTGCTCACTGCCATGGTGGGGTGGGGGTGAGTGATGTAAGGCTCAGGGAGAAACTTGCTCCACCTCTCACTCAGGGCCAGGTACCTACAGCTTTGGGGGTCCATGTCAGGAAGGTGCAGGTCCTCTGAAAAATGCCACTGATGGGAGAGGATGACCTCAAATGTTCTACAGATTGTCACACCCTCCTGCTCACTGCCATGGTGGGGTGGGGGTGGGTGACATAAGGCTCAGGGAGAAACTTGCTCCACCTCTCACTCAGGGCCAGGTACCTACAGCTTTGGGGGTCCATGTCAGGAAGGTGCAGGTCCTCTGAAAAATGCCACTGATGGGAGAGGATGACCTCAAATGTTCTGCAGAGACTCTGCTCTAGTCCCTTAGAGTCATTAGATTTCAGAAAAGGTTTAAGATGTTTAAGCTAAGATGGCATTTTAGAAGCTTTATAGATCATTCAGAAGCTAGGGATATATGCACGGAGGAGGGAGGGTGATCATGAGAAGCGACAGTAGCTAATCATCATCTTACAGTGGAAAATGTTTTAAAATCCTACTAGTGGACTTGGAATCACAGGAACACTTCATGCCCAGATTAGCTCTGGGGCCGAGGGTCATTGTCCAACTACACGGGGAACTGGAGCAGCTGAGAAAGCCTCAGAGCATCTGGACAGCACACTAGGATTCAGTCTTCCCATGCTGGAGACAAGCCGTACACTGCACGAGGAGCTGGAAAAAAGACCCATTGATGTCCTTTTTCCAGCAGAGTCTAAGCCTGATGGGCCCTCCTCTTCAGGCACATCACACATTCTCACTTCCCAAGAGATAATTTGATTGGTCTATATCATTACTTCCCTGTTGTCCCTGTTGAGCGAAATTTGTTTCTTGGCCCAACTGTGACCAAGACAACAGGGTTGACCTCACTGACTCTCCTCTCCGCGTATCCACTGTCTGCAAAAAGAACTGCTCGGGCCATTTTCCTGTGGGGGCATCCAAGAGTGGGACAAGTCCTTGGTGCTTCATGGATTCTCTCTCTAGGGCAGAGTCCAGTTTAAGATCTTCTGTACCCAAGTCCTCACTCCTAACCTGAACTGCTGTTATCCTCAGCCAATACTCTGCAGCCCTAGTCTGGAAGAGCAGAGCCCATTTGTAATAGAGGAAGAACCTTCTTTCATTTCCCTGCACAGCCTGATAGCAATTTAGCTTCACAAGGCCCTGAAGGGGTTGAGCTGGCCCTCCGTTAAGGAAAGCCAGCAAATCCATGCAGATGTTTTTCTGAGTGCTGTTCTGACCAGGGCTCAGGGGTTAGTCTTGCCTGGTATCACATAGCATTGGGAGGTTAGGGAATTCTCTTTGTGGATCAGGAGGTATATTACATAAAATCAAAATGTAAGTGTGTTCTTTTTGGATAAGGCAATGTTTTCCCTTCTATTTTTATTTATATAACCTTATCACTTAGTCTCTGTTACTTCTTTCCCTCTGCCTTCCTTGGCACTGAGCCCACCCTGATTCTGCAGGATAGACTCAGCTAGCTGGGCAGCTTTCAGTGGTATGGTTTCTAACCACTCTCGCTCTAACCGCATCTGATAAATCTCATTAAGGGGCTTTACTAACCTCATTTTCTTATCCAATGCAGAAAATCTACTCCACCAAGAATTTCAGTTCTTAAGACATGTGACTTACAATCCAAGAGGCCAGAGAGAGTAGGGTGCCAATAGGATACATAGATTAGATAGACAGACAGATAGATCAGATAGGTAGGTAGGTAGATAGATAGATAGATAGATAGATAGATAGATAGATAGATAGATAGACAGACAGATAGATAGATAATAAATAGAAGATTTATCAGGGGACTGGCTTTTATGATTATAGAGGCTGAGAATTCCTACCATAGGCCGTCTGCATGCTGAAGAACCAGGGAGTCCTGTAGCATGGTTGAGTTCAAGTCCAAGGCCTCAGAACCAGGGAAGTCAATGGTGTTACTCTCAGGTTGAAGGCCTGAGGATACAAATGGCTGCTAACGCAATTCTGGAATCCAGAGGCTAGAGAACTGGAGTTCTGATGTCCAAAGATAGGAGAAGAAGGGTGTCCCAGCTTCACAAGAGAGAGACAGTAAAGATTTGCCTTCTGCCTCCACCATTTTGTTTTATCCGGACCCTCAGCTGATTGGATGATGCCCACTCACAATGGGTGGGGACAGATCTTCCTTACTTGGTCCACTGATTCAAATGCCAATCTCTACTGCAATCACATTCACAGACACACCAAAAGTCATGCTTTACCAGCTATCTGGGCATCCCCTTAATCCAGTCAAGTTGACACCTAACATTAACCATGACAAATGTGTTGTTCTGAGCACCTGGCACAGCTCTCCAGGCTATCTGACTCTCGGCTCCCCAATAGTCCACCCTAGCCTCCCTCTCACTCCGTCCTCCCAGAACCTCCTTCAGAACCAGGGCCTGCCCTGCAGAATAGCAGACCAGCAGCTGATATGCTTTGAGAGGTGAAATAGACTGCCTACACGTGTTATTTACTTAATAGAGGCATTTCACTGCATAACTTGTGATAAAATTTTAAATGCAAGTACCTCTGGAAGAGGAATACTCAACTAGACCCACAGGACGGTATAAAAGGCTCGTGGTCTTTGCTCAAGGCATAGATACTGCTTGTATCTGTTTGCTTGCCTGTTTGGTAGAAACGGAGTTTCTGTTGTGGGATTGTGGAGGAGGCTGTAGAGTAGAGAAGAGCACAGGACACCTGATACTTAGAGAAGGAGCAGCCAATGGGAAGGCCAGTCTTATCTTAACAATTTTTAGTGAGTCACCTCTACTTAATCCGTTTTCCTTCCTAACCTGCCCTGGTTCATTGTCTACATTCACCTCCTGATACAATGTACACCTAGTTAGTGGGTGAGCGCAGGCTCCATGGAACAGACACTCTCACCCTTTCTACCTCTAATCCACTCTCTACTTGAAGACAAAGTGGTTCTCTCTAGAAACAGAGAAATGAGCCTGTATTCCAGACAACTAGGATTTTGCTTCCTCATTAGCCAAGAAATTGTGAAATGAACAGAAGTAGAAGGGAAAAAAAAGCAAAGAAAGGAAGAGCCCAACAATGGAGGAAATGATAGAGTAATAATCTACAGAAAACTCAAATTAGTGAAACTCTGCTAAACAAGATGAAATAATGATACCGAAGATGGCCGAATAGGAACAGCTCCAGTCTCCAACTCCCAGCGCGAGCGACACAGAAGACCGGTGATTTCTGCATTTTCAACTGAGGTACTGGGTATACCCAAAGGATTATAAATTATGCCTGCTATAAAGACACATGCACATGTATGTTTTATTGCAGGACTATTCACAATAGCAAAGACTTGGAATCAATCCCAAATGTCCATCAGTGACAGATTGGATTTAAGAAAATGTGGCACATATACACCATGGAATACTATCAGCCATAAAAAAGGTGAGTTTTGTTTGTCTTTGTAGGGACATGGATGCAACTGGAAACCATCATTCTTAGCAAACTATCACAAGAAACAGAAAACCAAACACCGCATGTTTCTCACTCATAGGTGGGAACTGAACAATGAGATCACTTGGACTCGGGAAGGGGAACATCACACACCTGGGGCCATATCATGGGGACGGGGGATGGGGGAGGATTGCATTGGGAGTTATACCTGATGTAAATGACGAGTTGATTGGTGCAGCACACCAACCATGGCACAAGTATACATATGTAACAAACCTGCACGTTATGCGCATGTACCCTACAACATAAAGTATAATAATAATAAAATTAATTAAAAAAAAAAAAAGAAATAATGATACCATGTCAGTACTGGGGCTGTTTGCCAGCTCACCTTTCTTCCCTGTTCCCCATCTTCACTGTATCACATGGCCAACTCCTGCAGCCTATATTTCCCAAACTCCCTTGTCAGCTGGCTCTGACGGTCCAGCCATGAGGACACTGGCAGGAGACTGGAGGGCAGGAGGAGAGAAGGAGGTGGTATCCCTCCTCCTTCCTCTCTGCCTTTGGCTGGAATCTCTGACACAGGCTGTGTTTCCTCCCTGGCTCCAGGTTTGCAGTGGTTTCAGCTTCTTTGGGGTGACTCTTCTCTGGATCTAAGTCGCGCATCCTTTTTCTTTCTACCTCCAGCCCATAAGTGATAGTGGTTTCCTGCTGCTGTAATCTCTGGGTTACCTCCTTGACCCTATTTGGCTTCTCAGCTCATCCAGCCCCTGTGAGCCTATTCCCTGCTTAAAATTCCCTCTATTTAAAATTATCAATGACTGATATACAATCTCTCACGGACCTACCTTATACAATTTTCACATAAGTATTTCTTAACATTGGTGCACACACACACACACACACACACACACAAAGGATTTCTTAGCAGACACTACAAGGAGCTCTAAGGCTTTGATGACTAA